CATCTAGCCCCGATCTCCCTTAAATACTACATTCAAGCAAATGTTACTTATTTCAAGTATTTTTTTAATTTATATATCTGCAGATCTTTTATAAGTTTTCACCATAAGCCCCAGATTTGTTCAAAATGCATTCTGGATTCTGGTAAGTTTAGCGTTTCAATCAAGAATATTAAATTGGATGAAAAATTCGATTCGCTCATTAACTATAGAATCGAGCCAACTTTCTCTTCGATAAAATTTTATAATATTCTTGCGAGAAGAGTACACATTCTTTCTTTGAGTGCATAATGAACTTCCCCTCAAACTTGTAATAAGTGTCTTTTAAGACTATTATCGAGAGAATATTTTTCGTTGAAAATAGCCATTACTTAAAAGAAGAAAAGTAAACTGAATGAGCAATCGCTTTTCGCGGCAGTGGAATGATACTTTTTTCTCTCTGTGTACATTTACGTATTGAACGCGATGGAGCTCGTATCTACCAATGAATCAGAACATTTCCGCCGCGAAGGCGGGCGGCGTGAATGAAGTCGTTGCACAGGGAGAAGTACTGCGACAAATTCTGATCGGGACTGTCGGCGGCCAAGATGCACAAGTAATGTTTGTCCTGAAAGCAAGAGCAAGCAAAAAAGTCGCGGTTTTTTTCCTCTTTCGTTCCATTTGCGTATAAATATACAGTATATTTGCATATAAACAACGGCTCCTATTGTTTACGACGTGAGCAATTTCACAATGGCACGCACAAGCAGATTCGCCGCATACTCACCGAATGCAAACGACGGGCCGTGTCGTGGATGGCCAGAATGTGCGTAATCTCGAAACGCTCCAGCTGATCGGCGTCCTTGCTGTCCTGATAATTACCTACGTAAAGACCAGGCAGCACCTGTCGACACATCGAACGAACGTTAACGTGGAGCGCTGTGAAAGACAGCGTTGGGGGACGAGGGGCAGACTCTTTAATTAATATTCAAATCGACGCGTCCCGCTAACAGATAGCCTGTAATCAAGAACCCCTATAGAACGTATAAAAAGACCCTGACCCTAAATAGGCACGTTGAATGAGCCGAGACGACGCGCGATGTCCTCGTCGTTTCTTCCCTCGCGGCCCTAATTTAAAAATGCCACGTCTCTTTACGGCAGTCTGTTTGGCGAAAGATTACGACGACGACGACGGGCAAATCCGGGTCAGGTCTGCGATGGAGGTATGCAAACGCGGGAATGGATTCGTGATGGGCATCGACGGGCACCGTAATCTTAGATTAACTTACCCCATTTGACAAATATTGAATTTTCAATAAAAGCTAGCGTTTAAGCCCATGTATAGAGTGTCTGTCGTTTATCATCCGGATACTTTAACCGGCATCGAGTCGATCTCTGTGTAATCCTTTAATGTCCATTTCTACTAACTTTAGTTAACCGGCTGATTATTCCAACTGGATTAACCAATCGCGTTAGTCAAAATTGACAGATGCGATTGGTCAATTTTGACCAACTATTATACATCAGTTGCGCGTGATCTGTATTTATAGGAACCAGAAATCGGTAGAGATGATATTTATCATGAATGCAGCCTAATGGCAGTAACTAGATATCGTCACTTCCGCAACATTAGTAATTTAGCAATTGCGGTTCCAGCAACCACACAGTTGTTCCGTATTAAACTATTGAATCTGATTGGCACAGATTTATGTATGGGCCAGCCATACTGTTTTTTTCCATGTAAAAACTGACAAAAAGAATACTAGAAAATTTATTTATGGGATATAAAGCTTACTTCTATAAAATGAAGTTTATCTTTATAACATATGAAGTTTATTTCTGCGCGAAATAAATTTTTATTCCAGAAGTAAATTTTCTAGTATTTTTTCTCTCAGTGTATGAGAGAGAGAGAGAGAGAAAGAGAGAACGTAGATAATTATATACGATTAGAAAGTCGCGTATTTTCCGACAATCAGATTTATTCGGCAATCCCATTTTTATCTAACGTCTTTGAAGAATATTGTGCGAGAAAGACATTTCCATTCAAACGGGATCGATGGCCTGGGCCTTGAAGGGTCAACTGAAGTCTGATCGAACGGCGAAAGCCGTTCTACGGCGAATTGAGATAAGTTATACTTCGTGGATCGGGTCAACGACAGAGAGTCGGATGAACTGAGACGCATTATTAAGAGGAACAATTTCTCGCAGCGCGAACTCATTAACAATTCGAGTCTGACGAGTTATTCTCGCGGTGCCGTGGCTACGAAAATATTTCATTTTCCCCGGGCGCGGGTCGTTACTCTTAATCCCCCCGCGCTTTAATTTCACTCGTCGCTCTCTTATCACGGTTACCCCTGCGATCCCTCATCGCGCTCTCGTCGCGCGTTGATTTAGTCGGGAGACAGAGAACTACCCGTTCGCCGTGGCTCCTCGAGACCGCCGACGTGGCGAGTGCCTGACGGGTGGCTGTCGTCTCGTGATCGATCGATCCTGAGAACTAGAGGTAAAAAAAAGAGGAAAAGGGAGAGAAAAAAGAGGGCGACATGGTCGCTCCGTTGAGTGGAGAGCAAAAACGAATAAGCAGGCTGTCGTGCCGGCGTTGGCACGCGACGAAAATGCGATTTCGATCGCTCCTGATCTCTCGGTGTGTGCGTGTATGTGGGTGTGGGTTTGCGCGATTCACGGCAGCGTGCAGATAGCGTCAGGACATCGATCGCTCGACGTCGCATAGATTATGATCTCATCCGCTCGGTGACATCAAAGCCACCTCGCGCCTGAACTCGACGAAGCCCTCTCGAACGTTTCCCGAGGAATATCTCGATGCCGCACCGGCCGTCCAGGATCGTGCTCTCGCTCTCAGGTGTTTTCGATACCGCGATCTCGCTGATCGGATCGATCGTGATTCTGAAAGCTACCTAGCGCGAACGGGATAATTAAACGTCACGTAGACGGGGCCGACACTCGATGATCGCGAGAGCATCGTCGATCGTCTCGAGCGCGAATTATAATCATCATAAACGACAAGGGAGACGCGATTGCCGCGGGCAAGACGCGGTCGGGGGATGAAACCTTGTCGCAGAAGAGATGAAGGATCACGGTGTGAATATCAAAGAACCGAGCGATGGCTCGACGAGGTCTTCTCGGTCTACCTCTGTTGAGATCGTTAATCCTCTGATAGCTTATTTTGTGGTGTAAATGGTCGCAACGTATCGCAGAAATACACTGAGAGTAAAAATATCTAAAAATAAAGAATATTTACGGTACCGATAACACATTTCTTTATATCAAAATTTGTTTATTTAGATTTATTTAGATTTATTTAGATTTAACAAATAATTGCTCTCATGAAAAGCTAAAATTTTGTTTAAAAAGTTTTAGGAAAATGTATATATATTTTCTTATTAGAAATACTTTATATTAGTAGAAGTAATACAAATGTTAATTTTTCTTGTAAATACAAGATGTTTATGCTAATATATAATGTCTGATGTACCTAGAGAGGAAAAGTATCCTAAAAATAAAAAATGCTTCCTCGATGGGTACTAACATATTTACCTGTGATATATACATTTTTATATTGAAAAAGTATATTTTAGATCGCGCCGTGTCCAAATGTTTGATCTGGTCTTCCAGGTTGATGCCACGTTCTGGATTGTTTGAATACAAATCCACGCGGCATCAACCCGGAAACCAAACCAAGCATTAAAAAACATGTTTTTCAAATAAAAAATAAACATTTTTTCCAAATAAAAAATAAAAATTTTCCTGAAATCGTTGTTTCCATGAAAGCAATTATTTATTCTATTTAAACAAAATTATTATTTATTTTATTCAAATAAAAGAATTTAGATTTAAGTCAATTTGTTATTAGCACCCACCAAATAAATATCCTTTATTTTTAGATCTTTCTTTTTTCAGTGTGTATATAATTTTTTATGTATAATAACAACATGTTTTCTGAGTGTTAGATCTGCTAATAAAATAAATTATTAAGTTTTTACTTGTGATAATAAAACACCATACTAAGAAAATAGCACTTGAGGATTTTTATACATGAGACATAAAGTTCATTTTTATAAAATAAATTGTTATCTCACAATTAAATGTTCAAATACTTTTCCTCAGTATAATGATTGTCAAAAACTGTAGAGAGGATCCATGTAGGAGAATACATGGAGGAGGTTCGGTCTTGCTGTAATAAATATCGTGAAAACATTGGAAATTGAAATATGTATCTCTGTCAGATACTGCGCCTATCGTATGGTTAAACATTGAGTAATGATATTTGCGTATGCAATAGGTAACAGAGTACGTCGATACGTTCTATTTAGAAACACAACTTGAGTTTTAGATCGAGGAATGAATCGTTTTTCCATGATGAACGACTCGTGCGTGCATACTAACGCAATGAAAGCGGGATGAAAGAGTGAAGAGATTGACCACTTATCGAACGTAATTAGACACGAAGTCTACTGTTTGCAAAAACTGCTGTTTGCAGGAACGAGAACACGACAGCCCGATTGCGTCACAATCGTCTAATCTAAAAATCTTTCCAACCGTCTATGCCTGACACGCCATTGTGCAATAATGACACAACATATTCAAGTAGAACAGAAAATCACGATGACGTTGAAATTACGGGAAATTGATCGGATCGTGATTGAGAAGTAAGTTTTTTTAATCATTTTCTCGTCATTTTGACATCAGTTTGACATCATGATCTTTTGTTCTGCCTGTATTTGTACATGTGCAAAAGATAAGACAGACTTTTCTCTGTCTCTCTGTTTCTTTGTCTCTTTCTCTCTCTCTCTCTCTCTGATAATAATCTACCGAAGCGTGCTTCTCTCGAATTTCTTACCTTGTTCATGCCATTCCCCATGATGCTGGAGCGATGACAAGCGCGATGCCGAAGTGTTATCGACTTAAAGGCGCGAATCGCGCGCGAGTCTTCCGCCGGCCGTCGTCATCTCTCTAGCCACTTGAGTTTATTCCTCGACGATTCGATACGCTATGATTCTCGTCGACAGGAGAGCAGGAGTATTGTTCGTCAAGCACCATTCCTCCGCGGTATAGACCGCTCCATTAAGCTGCCGCGTGTTCGCTCGTATACGTCGGCGACGTATAGCCCTCGAATATAGCGTGGGAAACGCGTGGTCCACGTGGCTCCTCACCCGATCGACCTTTCTATCCGGCATTCGCGTATCTTAACGTTGCTTCTCGTCTTCTTGGTAACTCGTCGCGCTCGCGTACGCCTCGGTAAATATCGCGCTCGTTATCTCCACGCTGTTGTTTCGCAACAACAACAACCGTGTGTGACGTATATTCCGAATCTTTTTCTCCTCCGTGATCCGATATGTATGTGTGTCTGTGCTTATTTACTCACTGCTAAAGCTGTTTACAGTCATTCTTCTCGATAACGTCTCTTCTGCGTCTTCTCCGCGTAGAACGAGGCAGCATTTTTTAGCGAACCGACGCGTCCTGATTCCCGTGGTACGAAGGTGCATTGAAATTCATGGCTGCTTTTTGCCGTCTCTCTTTATCGAAGAACTCCCGACTTCTACGTACAGTCTAGCCGACAGAGTGGATTCCATTTATATGCGGATCGAAGCCTACAACGGGAACGGAAAATACGGCACGCGCTTTAGGGGTGTCTTTTTGTGCGCGAGCGTTGGAGCAATCGGCTTTTCGACATGGAGCAGTACGTTGAGCGGGATAGAGCTGTCTCTGGGAGCTCGCCTGTAATCATGACGCAGTGCCTTCAATACTGCGGGAAAAAGTTGTGTCAGTTAAAAGCGTCGGGATATATCGTGCAACGAAAATAGCGGGAGAGGAGAGAATTTGTCTTGTCGTATCGATCAGCGATACGCGGCACGATTGCCTCGCTCGAAAGAGGAAACGTACACTTGTTCTTTCGAGAAAGTGGGACAAGTTATTGATAAATTGTCGTCCCGCGTATCGCATGTGTACACGGTGTGGCGTGTATGTCTGTGTGCGTGTACGTGTGAACTGAATAGTCGTCTTAAAATACGGACAGGCGAGTTGCTGCAGGACGATTTGCGAGAAATTTCATTTCGCGAGCGACCAATGTCACCTGTGAATCGTGTCGAGATGATCGCGTCGTCCCGCGGTATTACCCAAATAATAGTTCTCCCTGGTCGGCAAGAAATCATTACATACGAGCCGGTCAATTTCCGTTACGAACGCCTGGTATTATCTCGAGAAACCGACAGAGAGATGCGGTTTAAAGAACCGCCACTACGTCTATCGATTGCTTTAAAATCGATAAAATGGACTGTAAGGACTCGCGGCTACCTGGTAGTACGTTAACCTACTTTGCCGTAGTACTGATGTTTCCGCCCTCGGACGAAAACAAATCTCGTAATTAACCCACATGATTAATCGCGCGAAAGTACAGACATAATTTTGCGCGACTCCTACTGAGAGAGAAAAAATGGTTGATTTAACTAAAATTCTAGTTACTTGTGGCAATATTTTCTGGTTATTTTAACACGAAAATGGTAGTAACATATGAGATTATTATCACTAACAGTAAAATATAATGTATAGTTTAATTTAAAAAATGTTTTCCTTGAGAGAGACTGTAATTTATAGTAATTATTTCTCCGTGTTATCATAGTTACAAATACTTTGTTCTCAATGTAAATATTTCAAATTTATTTTCTCGTGCGTCAAATAACAGAACGTTTTTAATTCAGATATTTTTTAACAAAATACTTCCAAATGTTTGGTAGCAGACATGGAAAAAAAACATTGATTTTTATTACTCGGACGTGTAGTAGTGTAAAAAAAATATTTAATTACGCACAGAAAAAGTTTGTTCGGATTAACCAAATGTCTAGTGAAATATTAATGAATCAGCAATTCCGGCTAAAGTCATCAAAATTATGTTCAAGTTAACAAGATTTCTGGTGAACCAGAACTGCAACTCAAATTCACCAGATGTCTTGAATGATCAATTAATCTTTATGACGACTTGAACAAAATTCTGGTAACTTCGACCGAATTCCTGGGTTCGTTAATATTTCGCCAGATATTCGGTCAATCCAACCAAACTTTTTTTTACGTGCACAATAACGTTTCATGACCGCATATATCAAATTAGCGTTGATCGTCAAGGACTCTGGAACGGCTATCTCGTGCCAGAAAAATGGAGCTTCCACAGCCAAAACGGTGCATAGCAATAGATGTGTTTTTGTCGTGCGATCGCAGATATAGCGGCGCAAGCTGTGCGTGTTTATGTAAATTCCAGTCCGATATATTGGCTTGATGCCGACGCATCATATTTTTGTTATTCAGCAGCGAAGCAATGTGACGCGGAGGCAGCTTGCACTTTGATTTCGAGCTGCGCGGGACGGAGCTTTACGACGTTTCAGTCTCAGGCAAAAAGCGCGTAAGCTTTTTGATAAAATGACGCGCGACAGATAGACAGATGTGTGTCGATGTAATTGCGGCACACCTCGCTAAAAGTGAAAGCCTAAAGGATTTCGCATTCCCGGCTGCGAAGTATTAGTTTGGTCGACCGCCAAGGGAAAAGTTGAAACTCTATCGACGTGGTTGGAAGTTATATTAATTGCAGCGACAGCTTGTGCGCGGACTCTGCACGACGACCTCGTAACTCGATACCACGTCGTTGTTTAGTAAGTATGAAATATACATAAAGGAGCTCCTAATTATAATCCTAATACGTAGAGAATTTTTTTGAACAAGTTTGCGAGATAATATTTGAGAGGGCCTTGAGATGTTAAAAATTTCCTCGAAACGTAACTGATGAATCATACCACATGAATTTCCGAAATATCGATTCATTAACGTTTTATAGGATAAAACTTTTTTTTAAAGATGGTGACTCTAATGTCTATTACAAATTTACATATCTAGATACATGGCAAATGTGTGAAATATAAGGAACCTTATAATACTTATTATTGTTATGATTATTGCTTGGAAAAAAATCTACGATAATCCATTCAGAGGAAGTGCTCAGTTATTCAGATTCTGTAGTCAATATTTCAACCATTTGTGGAAATGTACTTTTTTATTAAAATATTTGTAAATAAAAACTTAAATTTTACATAAATACAAAAAAATCGTTTATTTGCATCAATCTGGTAATTGTAGTTACACTCATGTAAAAAAATGTTAATTTATGTTATATACTATAAGCAGATATCATACATTCATTTTTTGAGCAGCATTTTTCATGGCAAGTACTTGTATAATTGTGTAGACTTATTTTTCCATTACATATCGTCTGTATAACGTATAGTTTTACAGATATAAAACTGCATAATCGAATGTTCAACGTAAAACAATAGACATTTTGAACTTTACGTGAGGTGATTAAAATATTGACCACAAACTTATAAAGGGGTTAAGAGTCATTACTGCGACTTGAAGAAATTTGATTGAGTCACGATTAGTTTCATACTCTTCGAGATCTCATATTGATGTCAGAAAATCGTATGAATAATTAATAATCCAAAAAGAGCGGCCGAGTGCCCATAGACATTTCGTCCTTTCTCAAAAACTTTGAATATTTCAATTAATGACATGCCGATTTGAAGCTTATGTCGAATAAATTAAGAATATAAAGTTTCAATATTATTCGTGGTCATTTGGGAGATAAATGCTCCACAAAAGATTGCAATTATAATAGCGCGTGGAAGTTTGTATGTTATCAGAGAATAATATGAAAATAATACTGAGATTTTATTTTCTTAATATATCTACTCATCCTAATCTTCAAATTAATGTATCATTCTTTGGAGTATTCAGTTTTACAAAATCCTATAGAAAAGGGATGAAACTTGACTGCACTTTTTGGTCTTGAGTGAGAAAGTTTGGAAAAGTTTAAGCAAGACATTATTTATTATTGATGAATCATCTGGTTCGTGATAAGATCACCCTCAACAGTTTCTCGAGAAGTTGTTAACAAATTAACTTACAAGTTACCACAAGAGAGCGTAGGTCATGTAAATATACAGCGGATTATCTTGGAAATCCCCGTCGAATATCCGATCAGCCGGTTATCTAGGAGTTTATTAATGTTCCGCATATGATTTATACTACTGCGTGAATATTTAAAGCTAAAGTAATTGCAACAACACACGCAGCTTGTATAGCTTCTCCACAATGATCCCGTAATTCGATACCACGTCGTCGTTCAGTAAGCACGAAGTATACAAACCTATTAAGGAGACTCCATAATTATAACGTGGGAAATTTTTGTTGGAGAAGTTTGCGAGAGTAATATTTAACGGAGGCTTGAAATTTTAAAAATTTTCTCAAAATGTAACAGATGAATCCTACATGAATTTCCGAAACATTGTTTTATTAAGAGCCATATTAATAATCGTTACTTAAAACTTGCCTCAGGTGAGATTTTTAGAGTTTAAGGCCCATATTAATAGTCATTACTTGAAACTCGTCTCAAGTGAGATATTCAGATTTTAATTTAAAGTTAGATAAGAGAGTTTTTCAGTTGAATCACGACTATATATAAATGTCACACTTATCATAATTCAACTGAAGAACTTGGTTCTGACTTTGAATAAAAATCTGAGTATCTCATCTGAGACAAGTTTCAAGTAACGACTATTAATATGGACCTTAGATATACAGAACTTAGACTTCGATATGAATCTCTATAACTTAGAGCTGAATCGCATATATGAGTGATTCAAGTAGAAAGCACAACTCTAACTCTAAATGTCTGAGTATTTCACGTAGAATAAGTTTCAAGTAATGATTATTAATACGGGCCTGAGAGTTATCTTTGTGGTTTGGAAAAATTTAGTTGAATTTCGATTAATTCTATTCTCTTCGAGATCTCATATTGATATCAGAATCAAATAAATAATTAATAATGGAAAATTTGATTTTAAAGGTGAGAAAGTCTGAAAAAGTTCAAGCAAGAGATTATTTATTATCGATCAATCATTTGGTTCGTGCTAAGATTGCCCTCAACAATGTCTCGAGAAGTTATTAATGAGTCAACCCACAAGTTACTACAGAAGAGCGTAGTAAACAACAGATAATCTTGAAAATCCCTATCGAATATCCAATCAGCCGGTTATCTAAGTGTTTCTAATGTTTTAGTTATTTTCTAATCTTCGGGATATGATTTCTTAATTGCTGCATGGAATTTAAAGTATATATTATATTAATTTAAAGTAGATATTATATCAATTGCAATGACGGAGCTTTTGTGCGGTATGACGATGTCGTAACTCGATACCACATCATCGTTCAATAAGCACAAAGTAAAAGAACTTGTTAGAGAAACCTCGTAATTATAACGTGGAGCAATTCTCATGAGGAGTTTGCGAGATAATATTCAAGAGGAACTTGAAAATTTTACAAATTTTCTCGAAATGCGCGTAACTGATGAATCGTACCGCATGATTTTCCAAAACATTGACTCATCAAGAGCCACCATTGTGACTTAAAGAAATTGAGTGAATTGAATTGAAATGAATTCGCCATTTGGGAAATTATAAGTGCAGTCGCAAAAGCTTAAAAGCGTGCTTGGCGCGATGTTGACCTACTCTTAAAATAAAGCGACGATCCGATATACGTACGGATGGAAAATTCAGTGGAAACCAATCGCAGCCGATGAGTCGAGAGAGCTATCTTTCGCCGGCGGAGCGGGAATTTTTACAGTACGTTTTTCTCGTCGCGCAAAATTAATTAATTAAAATCGAGTGCGCTCTGAGAGCGCGTTCATTAAAATCCCTTTTATCTGTTAGTCGGCAAAGGCCGCCTGCGATCTCCCGGTTGCTCTTTGATCCTCGCGATATAATATATGCATATCGGGATTTATCCTTTAATCAAGGTGAAAGCTACAGTGGTCTCGTAAATGATGCAGCAACTCGCGTTTGTCCGACGTATATATCTCGGTGCTAAGAGATGAGACGATTAAACGGTAATGAGGATATTAGGGCATTTATATTCGTGGCCGAGATGAAAGCGACGCTCACGGAGGGACGCGTAAACGAAAGACACGCACAGGGCGGCGAGCGCTTTGACGCATCCGTTATTTCACCAGTCGAGCTCGACCGAACGAGAGCCCGACGGAGGAAATCCAGGAGTGTGTTCGGGACGCACCTGCGAAATCCACACGGATCATCGGATCAGCCGAGTGACGTCGCGGCGAGAGGACACTGCGAGAATAGAGGTCCTCATAGAGAGCAATAGTTCTCTCTCTCTCTTTCTCTTCCCTTATCGCGGATTAGCTCGTCGCACTCCCGCACGCTCTCGTCCCTCCGAAGGAGCAGCCGGGACAGCACGGAGAAGCCGCTGACGCCTCGCGCAACTACTTCCGCGGCTAATTCCCGAGGTGGTGGCTCGCCACCGTCGCCGCCGCCGTCGCCGCGGTGGTAAACGGATCGCGTCTCTTTAATTCCATCGTTCGCTCGCACTTTCGCACTCGTCCCATCTGTCACACACGGTTGCAGCAGATGTGCACCGGGTTGCAGCGCGATTCGTGTGTGTCGCCCTCTCCCTCGCCCTTTCCTTCCGTCTCGTTCTCACCTTCAGCGACTCGACGGGAGGGCGCGTCGTACGAAAACTACCCCGCTCGCGAACAGCGCGCAAGGAGCGGACGCAGGGGTTTCCCCGGTGGCACAGCGGGAACGAGAAGAGTACATGAAGAGAGTGGTGAGAAAGAGAGGAATAGAGGAAGAGGGGTGCACGCGAGGTGGGGGTGAACTAAACCGCTACGCGGGGGCAGTGGCTAGGGCAACGTGCAGGATAGTGGGGTAGATCCTATCACTGCGCGAATAGCCGTCCTCGAATGCGTGTTGCCGGCTTGGATGTGTTGCGGTTCGTCTTACGCCGGGATTCCCTTGGCAGCTCGTCCTGAAGGAGGATCACCGGGGTGACCAGCCGGGTGACGATGAACGGTGAGGCAGGAGGAATCACCGCGAACGTTGACGGAGCGCACGACGATACGCGCCCGAAGGCGGACACCTTAAGCCCTCAAACGGTCACGGCACCACGATCGATTGTTCGCGGTGTTGGACAATGTTCCCGGCTCGGGCCGGATCAGACGAAAGGGACAGGCCCTTCCGAGCGGTGTGAAATCGTTGTATGACGGGTGAGATACGAGCATCGTCGCCCGGTTATCGATAACTGCCGGGTTATCGACAAGATTCGCGAACCGAGCCACGAGCTCTTATCCCGTACGCGATCACGTCGCCTCTCACGCCGATTCTCTCACGTCTTTCGCCCGTGGGAATCCGCGTCCCGTTCAAATTCATTGCCACGAGGTGGGCGAGGTCGAAGGCGGAAATCTCGTAACGGATTCGCCGCGACGCTGCGAAAGGGCGAGTGTAAAGCGCGGCGGACCGAAGGGGGTGAATCGACACGGCCGGATTAAGCGATCAGCTTCTAACCGGACGGGGCTCCAGTCCTTATCCTCGCGAGATCTCGCGGCTGAAGCTCTTTCGCCGCGAGATATTCGCGAGGCCCCCTCGACTGTCGTTCGAGGCTGGTGCCGAAGACTAAAATCCTTCGCGATGCTTCGCTGTTTGCCCTGGCTTTCCACCCTCGTGCGTTCTGAAACACCACCCTCAATGTGCACCGTTCCCATTCCGCCCCTGAGGGTAAGTCGAGAAGGCCGGGGGTGGCCGATACGCCGGCGTCGCCGTCAGGCCGCGCAGAAGCCGCTCGATAAAGGCGCCCCTACCCTTTGGCCCCTTCTGACCATCCCCTGGCCCCTGCCCCTCGACCCTGCCCTACAAACCGGAAATCTAGTGTAGTAGGACTCGTATGCAGGCTACTGGGCTACGCTCGTGTCATACGGTGGGAGCCGCTGGGCTACGGGCTACGATACCACGCGATCATCCTTGAATGGACTCGTATCCTGAGCAGAGAGCGCGCTCTTCCCGCTCTTTTCCCACTTTCCTCGCTCGCGCGTCGCTGCAGCGGCGACTGCACGGATCATGAAGAATCGCATAAACGAGTAGATAAAAGCCCACAGGCGAAAATCGTCCGTATCTCGACGATGGCATTACACTGTCCGCGAGAGAGAATGGTCCATGTCTCTCGTGCCGATTTCACGTGAGTCCTTCACTCGCGTCCCTTACAAATCGTTCGAATGAAAGTAGGCGAGACCGGATTTAGAAGTCACAAGGTCAGTGTAACTGAGACAGGGTCAGTGTGACAAGTCAATTGTCACAAAGCTCTTATATCTCACATAATAAATAGAGAAGCACAATCTTCTCTATAGTACAAGTTACTTACATCATGTTAATTGGGCATATGAAATGACTTACAATAGAAACATCGCACGTGGTATTTACAGGCACTTTTTCAAAATTGGACGCAGTGAGTAAATCTTTTTCCTTTATTTTTATTAGTCCGTTAATTTTGGAATTTCTGGTCGCAATTTCTGGTCCTTCTTTCTTTTTAGTTGTAAGAAATGTTGTGGATTTAGCTAATTTTTCCTGCGTTTAGTTAACAGTCACTGCAACATAATTTATAAATATAATCTCTTTTATTTATCAAATGACCGTTCGGGTTGAATCGATCCGAATTAAGTGGAATTAGTTATCACGCATTGCGAGCCCGTCACGTAGATATGACTTATGCAAGAACATGGAAGCACACACAGTGATGTATTATGTTATATATGCCACAATAACGAATCTACATAAAGTTCTATAGAGAGAACTCACACACAAAGTTATTATTATAAAATTTATTAAAAAGATTATTATCCGTTATCTTCTTCGTTCAATGATTGTTTATTGTATCTAATCAGAAGATATCGCACTAACTTTAATAAAACACTTGAAACTTTAAAGTAAAAATAATTAGTCTTGTTTCCTTTACATGAAAGACATCACAACCAATCCTAGGAAGTAAATAGTATCATTTTCGCGACTTTGCTTACACCTTAATAACTTTTTGTGTATAAATGTGTACAAGGATAATGTTTTTTTCTTTTATCTAAAGGTTTTATATGGAAATGTGTACAATAAAATATAAAATAAATTTACGTATATCTCTTTTTTTTTAATTCAATATGGAAAGTGTGACAACTAGATCTGGTCTTCTCTATCATTGTTTCGTTTTGCGATGCGTTTGGTACGTTCCTGTTGATAATAATAACGTTCGAGGCCTTATAATTATAATTACATGAAAACGTGCCATGTGAATACGCGTATAATGATCTGAAAGATATATCGAAGCAATATGACTCATACCGTTGCTAACGTGACTGCAACGATGTCGTGTAATTTGCATGTCATGGTAATTTTGTCTCGTCAATGCGTCCCTGTAAAATATTACCCACTCGACGGCTGAATGAGGAAAGATAGCATCGTGTTAGTGTGTTTCGAGTGGTACTAGCGGCAATATACTTTTCGCCCTCATCGTAGGCCCTTACTCGCTGCTACTGCAGGCACGAAGACCCACTTGGGACTAGAACAAGCGCAACTCGAGAGACATGAATTTTTCGAGTCCTCTCTTCCTTTATTCCAGCATGAAATGCATCCAAGCGCTGAAGCACAAATAAGTATCTTCGATTTCTTATCGATATAAGAACATCTGGATAAAGTAACAACGCATAAATCAACAATATATTTTTTATGCAGATATTCTTATATTGATAGTCACTATAACTTTCCATCTATACAAAGTATTATTAATATCCACAATTATCACATATATCCACGTAATGGTATCTACAATTCTCAGTTACGATGATAATTGTAATTTAATTTTTCCCAATTACGATGATCAGGCAAGAAAAGTTCTAGACGCAATAAATCAGTTTTTAAACGGATGCAACAAATTTCGTTAAACAGTCATGGTCCCCTTAATTTTTTTGATGAAATTTTAATAAAATCGTATCCTTTTTCATTCGTGGTATTATAAAAAAGATTAAAACAAATTAAATAATTGTATTTAGAACTTTTCCCTGTCCGATCATAGTAACTATTAAAAATATAGTGGATATCATTGCGGTGAACACACCCTATATATATATATATAGATACAATGCTAAATTATATATATACAATATATATATATATATATATATATATATATATATATATATATATTTCATAAATATTATAGAAATATCATAGGAATATTTCTTGACTTATCAAGTTTTCTCGTGAAAAAGAGGAGATACAAATTTCAAGTAATTCGCACGTGTTTTATATTTTACTTGAACGTGTATGCAGTGTGAAAAATGCAGACAACCTTGTCTCTTGGGGTTTATTTGTATCTTTTTGGTATCGGTCTTTATATTTAAAACTATATTTTCTCGCGCATAATGAAAAAATAATTAACTTTTTAGTTTTTATTCTCACAATGTTCTGTAACACTGTACACACACACACATATCCACACACTCCCGACCACATAAAATTCTTTAAATTAGAATTTTAGATTAATCTATTTGAACAACTCTTTAAACAGAAGCAGAGTGTAGAATATATTTCTGTGCAATCAGATAAGGGATATTTATATTTTTGCCTTCCTCTCAAAACCTCGCGCGACAAATTGCACGCCATATGTAGCATGTGTATGTGTGTGTGTCGCGCACTGTTTCCGAACTAATAATACAATATCATGTATGTGAGTATATTATACGTCATCCCTTAAAATATATGCGAACGATTACATCGACATGCATCGCTCTAAAATTATTCTCAACTTACGTACAAGATTCACTATAAATACAAGGAGAGTATAGGGAACACATGCGCGCGCGTGCGCGCGCGTACATTGTTATTTATAATAATTTTTAATATGTACACAATTATACTGCTTAATACATTAGTTTAATATATCTTAAATTTAAGGCCGGTTGTTCCAACTTCTTGGTAATTTAACTGATAATTAACTCATATGTCTTTATATGAGTTGAAGAAAAAACAAAGACAGACATATGATTTAATTATCAGTTAACTTATATTTAACTAGAACAAAAAATTGGAACAACCGGCCCTTAAATGGTTAAACTCCACTTTTGTATTTGGTAATTTATCGACTACGGCCAGTCTCTCGTCGATCATGTTCGTTGTCCGCGGGAGTCGTGAGAGCAGGATAAATATTTACGATATTAACATGAAAGCGTGGATAAGCCGAGTTGACGTAGAGTTCCCGCTTTTTACTTTTAGCGCGAAAGCGCCAAAGCCGGTTACTGTTGCTTCAATTTCTTCTCAATGGCGGGACTGACCTTTTCGGCGGGAATACAACAGGTCAAAATCAAGCCAAGTAGTACCAGGGAAGTGCCACACCACCAAGCCAACGACGTCGATTCCTCAAAGACGACGAAGCCCACGAGAGCCTTTGAAGGAAAAGCAGGAAATATTTAGCTAATGCTCCTTACGGCCGGATGATTTTATGATTCTATGACTGATTGATGGCTCTTCTCTAAGTTTCCTCAGTAAACAAAGGACATTAGATCAATATCTTGAAATATTGATTTTACGCGTATTTCTTGATTTTTTGTTTAATATTTTAAGAATATTTCAAAGATATTATTGGATAAAATACGATCCCTTTGAATATTATAAAAATATTTTAGAAATATTAAAGCGTATCAAAGTTATTCGTAATAATATTGATACAACGTTAAAAACTACATATTAGAAAACATTACATGTTACTAAATATCGTTGCAATAACGTCCTATTAATGATTTTTTGCTTACGGGTCTTCGCGAAGTCTCGCGATATTCTTATATCTTCAAGTCATTTGAGTAATGAAAAAAATGCAAGATATCGAAGATCAATGAGCGCATTATTAGCGAACCACATGTTTGGCATACCTAATATATATGTGTATATAGCGCAATGCACGCGACGGATTTAACCGACACTCTTATTTTCCGAAGGATGCCAGTCGGTGACACTCTTAAGTTAAAGCGCCTATATCCTCGCAAACTTAAGCTCATAAATGTTTAACTTCGCGCCGACATAATCGATATACGATGTCGCGCGAACACGTGTGCGAATTGAATGCGATTTCCGTAAAGAATTACATATAGAGAGAGCGAGCTATTACAATGTACGCAAAACTATATGAAGTATTCACGCCGAATCACGTTTAATTAACGAGACAGTCTCTTCCTGAACAAGAATATCAATATTTTCTACATCAATGTGTGTGTGTATGTAAGCGAAAGAGAGAGAGAGAGACAGAGAGAGAGAGAGAGAGAGAGAGAGAGAGAGAGAGAGAGAGAGAATAATTGTTCTCACGACACACGAATGAAATATCATTCAAAAGCCCCGGCATGAATATATAATATTTGTCGCGTTAATAATTCCGATATAGGCGCGTTTCCTCGCGTACAATGTAACCATCGTGATTGCGCTTCAATATGCATCATATCATGCACACTTCCCGTTCGATCGCCACGTAACTGTCTACATATAATTGCTATGACCGCATTGTGCATGTTCGCGGAATTGCGTCCAGTTTGCCAAACAACTTTCACTCTTTGCGAGCCGACGCATGGAAATGTGTATTAGTCCCGTAGTCGCGCGGAGCGTGGACGAATAGAACGAGATGGCTAGCGCGGATACACGTATCTCCTCGCCTTCCTCAGAGACGCGGCTCGTGCCCGACTCGATCGATTCGCCGCTCGATACGAAGGGGAGACGATGTCCGGTGCTTGTAAGATAAATTATGATTATGCTCACCGAACAAACGTAATTTGTGGCTGCGCTGGTGACCGTCACCGGTAATGAGGATCCGCTGCCGTGAAGCGCTTTGACAAAAAACGTACATCCCACGGTGTTGCACGTGACCATAAGGATCAGCAGCAGCGCTTTGAGCAACAGGGACAGCTTTTGCAAAGAGATAAATGTCGCTCGTTTAATGTGATCACCTTGCGTTGAAACGAGCAAACAACTTACGCTACGTCTACGATAAATTGCACTGCTTAATACATAGGTTCAGTTAAGTTACGTTCAAATACCGTTAACGTAAGTCGACAGGAAAGAACAACACAACAACACGATTAATAGGTCGAAGGTCTTGACCTACGATTTTTGTAACAGACAGTTTACCAGTTTCTTCTTTGCAAAAATTATATGATAACACGTGAACATCCTCCGACCATGTAGGATTGTACCGATTATTGAGATTAATTCGAATTGAGAATCGACTGAATTAATCGTCCAAACGAATTCATTAAATTTAATTGAGTGTGTGTTCTATGTTTGTTTCAATGATTTTAGTAATTAAATAAAAATATAAACTGCATTCAGGCGAAGGTAGATTCTTGCAATAATAGAGTGTTTACTAATTCTCTTCTTTGTGGAAATTATACGGTACACAAACGTTTTCTATTACGTCGATTGCGGGAGATTGTGCATACCAATTACTGAAGTTAATACACATTAATAATCGAGCTAATTAATTATTGAAGCAAATTAATTAACTGAGCAAATCAATTAATTAAACTTAACTGAGGTTCTACATATGATTATCTCGATAACCCGCATAATAATAAAATAAAGTGTAAACTGCATTTGGAGATACGTTAATGCAATTCGCTCATGCGGTAACAGATTGTGGTAGATTGTTTACTAATCTCTTTTCGCGAAAATTATACGGTAATATGTAAACATTCTCGGTGAAGAATCGCGTCGATTATTGAGAATTTGAATTAATTAGTCATTATAACAAATTAATTAAATTTAATTAATAATATATTTTATGATCGTCTCAATGACTCGCATAATTAAATGAAAATATAAACTGCATTCACACAGAAGTGCATTAATATAATGCGTTCACACTCTGCGAAAACGATTGTTTATTACTTTTCTTTTCTGTACGAATTAGTACAGAAAAGATAACTGTACTGATAATACTTAAACGTTCTCCCTTACATCAATCTTATCGAAGGATCGTATCGATTATTGAGATTAATATGAATTAAGAATCGATTTAATTAATTACAGAGGCAAATTAATTGAATTCAATTGACGATGTGTTCTGTGATTTTCCCATGCGATCTGCGTAATTAAATAAAAATATAAACCGCACTTGGGGATATGCATTGATGCAATCCGGTGTACTCATACTCCGCGATTTCTCCCATGTTTCTCTATAATTAGAAATGAAAAAAAAAAAATATATATATATATATATATGATCCAGTCTCATTGACGATAACTTACTCGGTAAATTACGATAAATTATTCGGTAATTTTGGAAAGCTGATAAAACGGTAATTTAGAAAGATTACAGAAATAAAAAAATGTTAATATAAAGTACAAAAGGAACACTTAGTCTTTAAGATGAATAAGACATTATTTAACTCATATTTTTCATAAAATATTTTAAAACTGTATATTAATATATTATATATAACATATAGTAATTAAGAAACTAAATATATAATAACTAGAGAAACTTAAAAAAAATGTTGGTCTTAATTTATATTTTTTATACTATCTTACAGGCTTATAAATATTTTCATTTATTACCTTGCTGTTTCAGCGACTAGATTGTGTAGTATATAATTTTTAGTTATATTTTAAAAAATAAAAATTTTAACTCTCGAAAGGTAGTAAATAGTTTCCTTTCTATCATCTAAGAGACATTTCAGAAATTATCAGATGTACATTTGATGAGAATATAAGAGGAATATTGTTTTATCTTATACATTAGTCCGAAAAACACGAGTATTTGTGTATAAAACTAACAAAAGTGAAGAATTTTATCAAAATTACCAATAAATTATCATCTTACTGTAAATAACCGTCACTTTAAATATAACAGCAATTTTACACCTCTATCTACAGGATGTCCGGTACAGGACTCACGGAGAAGCCACATGATCACACATGCATTATCGCGCACAACTATACATCAATCTCCTTTGATTAATATCTAAACATTTGCGTCCATTTGCGTACCATTTAGAAAATGGTAAAAGACTTTTTTGTTCAGTTTGACCTAATATACAAGTGGCAGATATCGCCATCATCTGACTCATCTACGTGATCATTCACGATTCTTCTTTGATTAAGACTTAGAATTTTACGTGTTTCTCGCAAAATGGTAGAGAAATTGTTAGTTTAGTTTGACCTAATCTTTACTTACATCACGGCTCCTCTGTGAGTTACCAGACTCCCTGTATAATACTTGAGAAACGCATCGGCCTAATTGTACAGTTAATAGTGTGATTTGGACGCTTTACTTGGTGAGAACTCTTGGCGAATGCGCCGGACAACAATAGCGCAGCCGATTGCGCATAAAACGCCGCTCCAGCGCGTTACTCGAGGTTACGTGATTGCAAAAAGTGCACGATACAACGATAATGATTATGAATTGTGCGTGTGAAGGAAACTGAGAGAGATCGCAAGGCCGCGCACACTCGACACTTTCACCCGCGCCCCGACCGGATTCGAATTTACCGCCAACTCACCAACGACGATGCGTCAGCGCCACCGGCGAGCTTGCCCAGAAGACTGCCGCCGGTTGCAAAAATGCCAGCCACGACCGCGAGATGTGCCCCGCCAACACCACCGCCATCCTGGTGCCCCTCCATATCGGCAGATAAGGAGGATATCCGGACGTGGCGAGGAATCGACCAGCCAAGGCCGCTCGTGCGAGGAAAACACTCGTGAGGGAAGCGGAGCGTCCGAGATAAAAGCTCGCTTACCGGCGGACACGCTCTTATCTGCTCACGTTGAATTAAGAGCGAGGTGACGAGAGCCCTGACGACGACGAGTCAGTCGATATCGAGCGTGATCGCATACCTGTGATGACAGACTGCGAATGACAGGCGACAATCGCGCGAATGAGTCATCGTACGAGCATGCGCCCGATAATTTACGCTGAACTAGTATACAATATTTTTCACAACTTGTATAAAGTGTTTTTCATGATTTAGACATCATGAAGTTAGGAGCTCACCAAACTGTCGAAAGTGAAGGTCATTACCGACGGATAATAATATAATTAATCGTGTAATTAAGAATACTCAGTAATTGTAAATAATAATAATTAATAATATCATTGCCCAATAATTATATTATTAATTATTTGTATTTTTATTATTTATACTATTTAATGTGTTCTTAATTGTATGACCAATTTTCTTATTCACACAAGTTACTGCAGCCGGTTCAGTGATAAAAAATAAACCTGTTGATGAACGCGCGAGTGTGACTACGACTTGTAATTCGACAGAAACGAATTACACGAATACGCAGCATGTCGACTTAGACGAAACACATAACGCGGTCTGCGGTAAGTTTTCCCAAATACACAAATGCATCGGTGACTAAACGGTAATGTCTAACGTTAAAACCGAAAGAGATGTTGAGGAAAAGAGCAGTGCTCCATTCCGGAATTTTCGAATAAGGAAAAATGTCCAATAAATTTCGAATAAGGAAAAATGTCCGGCATTCGTTACAGCATCAGCGCCGTTTTCGGTGTTTATATACTCGGATTTTACCGGGATATTAAAGTATAGGAACTTATTAATTCTTTATTAATTATTATTCATCATTTATTCATTCGTTTTCTTTTGTATCCGTATACTTTTCAATATTTAACAATATTCGCGCAAGAGTGCCGAAATCAGGTAGAATACTAACTACGAGGGCACATTTAATTGACTAATCAGGACGAAAAGAACTAAGATTTCCGTATCATGATTGGTTAATTAAATACTATTATATTCTCTGAGTGAATTTCGGAATGCGACCCAGGGAGTCGATTATGTATTAACACAACGTGATGAAAATTACGAAAGTGAATAAATTCACTAGATATCGATCAGTGAAATGGTAAATACTTTTATAAATACGTTCATTATTGTAATTTACATAAAAAAAGTTTCTGTGATACACAATCTACCTCCAAAGCATCCTAAGACTCTATTCAGGCAACTTTATAAAATCCAGAGTGATGGGGGACAGAGGCTAGAATAGGGGAAATCGGGGTTAGATGCTCTATATTTTAAAATTTCGAAGTTACAATACGCACACTAATTGTTGTAATTGACTCTTACTAAAGAAACCCTGAGTTCAGTAACGCAGAGTAAAGAAGGTCACATATAAAATATGTATTCTGATTAGTAGTTGCAGAGTCTCCGTAAGAGATCTCCACAATCCTCCTGCTGGTCTTTAATTATGAGCCAGCTTTATTTCATCCGCCCATATGCTCGATTTCAATTATTTTATGAATGAAAATTGCATTTATTAGCAGAAACAGTATATCACGCTTGCAAGAAATTTCATTCTAATAACACATCGCTTAATTTTATTCAGTCACGATGGAAAATATTAATAGGAAACTTCGAGAAGCTCGAAAATTTACTTTGCTATTGGCAAATTAGTTTTACCAGTTTTACCAATTTTTTCTATTTCTTAACTGTAATATTATTGCGATTTTAATGAAACTCAGGGAGAAGTATTTATGTCCTAAAATGACCATTTCACGATTTTGTGCCGACTATTTCTCTCAAGATAAGTACTAAGAAAAGCACATGAGCAACATACTCCTGGAGTCATATAGGCTCCCCTGAACTATCAGCTCCAAGAGATTTTGAGCGGAAAAGAGTAATCTGTTCTTTCCCGCTGCACTCCTCTTGCATTAGCCAACAGTAGTTTTCCCTTTTCAAATCTCAACCAAATCTCAACTGTATATCTGTTTATTTTTATGTTCCGTTAGAACGTACTAGTTCAGCGAAAAAGAACGGACCTCCGCACACAGAACGTAGCAACGTTCATTTCGTAGAAAAAAAAATGTGAACGAAATGTATGAATTCTTATCTATGGCAGTGCTTGTGCAATTTTTCCGATTGGAAGTAAAAAAACATAAATTGTTCGAATTGAAAATTATGTGGACAATGTAACGTCGAAATTTTTGGCGGTTTAAAGAATATTTTCATATAATACCAGATTGTTTTTAATTACAGAAAAATAAGCAGGATTTAACAACTTATTAATAAATTGGTGGATATAAACCATAGTTTTCTGTAAAATGAGTTGCTAAATAAAAAATTAGTTGATGCTTGTTGGAATTATGCACGTAGCAGTGTGTACTTTTCATAAATTCGCGCTGTTACATTGGGGTTTACTCTTCCAACCCACCTTGCAGGAAGCAGGGTTCATAGAGTTAACTCCGAGTACAGCTACTCCGACTTTCTGAACGATCAGGCTCCTTCTGTAGAGTACGTCACACCATATTTCGGCACGACATCGAGTTTTAACTCCGCTACCCGGAGTAGAGATTTCAAACGCAGCCCAGGACGTTTTCCTCCACCGTATCGTGAACAAGTGTCCGGAGAGTGGACGACGGTGCGGTGAGGTCCCGCGCGCTCCGTCAATCAGCTGGTTGTCAATCGAGGATCCCGGGCGTGAGCGCGACGTCGCGCTCGGCGTAAACGGGAGAGCCTCGGCTGTCGCTTATCGACCGGCTTAACGCAGCGCGGTTACGCAATCGACTTTATTTCGCAGGCAACGTATGCGATCGCGTCGCGACGGGTGTCGGGCAAGGCTCCCGCTCACGCGCGCGCAGCCGTCCTCGGATCGACCGATCGCGATCGCGCGACTAATCGACAATTGAGCGCGCGCTCGTCACCTGCTCGTTTAATGCGAGCGAGCGAGCGAACGAACGAAAGAAGGGACAGATAGACAGACGCACGAACGAACGAACGAACGAACGGACGGACGGACGGACGGACGGACGGAGCGAGCTGCGAATCGTCGATGCGGTCGGTCGGTGAACGGTAGTGTCAGGTCGCGAACAGACGGAGCAAGACGAGGCGAGGCGTGCGCGTGCGCGGGCGCGGACGCGATCTCTCGCAGGTAGTTTAAAAATGGCGGCCGACAGGTAGACGTTTTACCGCGGCTTGCACGCGCTGGCAAGCACGAGGAACGCGAGCGAGTTCTCGCCGCCGTGAGGGTGGCCGCGTACCGTAATCCCGTGAGACACGCGCGCGCGTCAGACCGACACACGTCGCACGCGATCATGCCGTGTTGTCGTCCTTCCTAATGGACAGGCGCGGAAAGCGCCAAGTGAATGAGTCGCCGCCGACGTGCTCGCGCGTCCGAGAGTCCTCGTGCGAGCCCGTGTCCTCGTCCTCGCCTGCGTACGCGTCGCCGTCACTCGTTACATTCCGCTTTCGCACGATCGCGAGCGTGGAGAGAAAAGGGGGAGAAGGAAAGCGGACCACCGCCGCCGCCGCTGTCGCCGCATGTCTAGCCGCGCGCTCGTATACGTAAGTAAAAACATTTGCTCGTCGATTTTCGACCGATCTCTCCATCTCTCTTTTTCCTCGCTCGTACATACAGCCGCGAGAACGCATACGTCTCGCGTACCCGCGGCTCGCGAGATCCTGCGCGACACACGTCCCGCGCTCCGAGTCCTGTGTGGCCTTGAACGCGCGATGGCTTCTCGGTGCTACGCCAGGCGATATAATTGGCAGGAAGTAAAATACATCCGCTCGGCGGCGATACGTTTCACTGTGGGATATTGTGCCGTGCCGCTTGACGCGCGCACGGTTTGATCGTTTTTCTGTGTGCAATGAGGATCGCACGAGGAGCTGCGCGACCAAGGAATTCTCGTGAGAACGCGCGGATTATTATACTATCGACTAATTCTCCATGGTGATTGTGTGCTAAGTAACTCGCGCCCGCTAGGTGCTCGGTGCACGGTGAATAATTAGCGAGTATTTCCCGTGTGCCTCGTATGGTTGGATTTTGTGTTACTAGGTTGGTGCTTGGGGGGATCTCTCATGAAATAGCAGTGAATTATTGGGAGTTCAAACAATTATCACGTCGACAAACATTGAATTTTCTTTTGCTCCCATTCATTATTGTTGCTTATTGTATCCCATATTTTTATCCCTTTTCTTTTTTGTGAAGAATAAACCTGATACTCTTGTTGGGTGAGTAATAAGCGATGCTTGTTTTTCACATATTATCTCTGAGACATAAAACTTACCTTGTCAAGGTATGGTTGGAGTATCTAAATATGTACATTCTTAGTAGCACCTAATGACGTAGTATATTACGTAGTAAGATTAAGGATGCAGCATGCTGTGGATATATATAGTCTATGTGTTTAACAAAGATCTGACATATCATATCCTAGCCAAAGTGTGAATACATAATTTAGTTGTATTTCAGAAAAATCTAATCTTCAATCTGTATTCTTTGCTTTCTGTTTTTTGTTTCTCTATCTTCTGACTTATAGTATAAGATGTAAGTCAGAAAGAAATAAAGAAAAAGAAACAGGAAACAAAGAGCACATTGTAGGTCAAGTTTAAAAGCTACAAAATACCACAGTATATCTAATTATAGAGAATTTGTGCCAATATTACAGCTTGATTTTTTGCATTTGAGATATTTATTTCTTCCTGTGTATATATATATATATAAATTTATACACACATCATCTGTTGAATGTCATATTTTTCTGAGAGCATCTATAATCTTTCCAGCTAATTGCAGTTGAATACAATCATGCTATTTATAAATGTGTTTCTTCACAAAGTATAAATTTACTCAATTTACTTTCCAACGAAGAATATTCTATAAAAACTCCCTGCACACATCCTTAAAAAAAGAGACACAGTAACATCAAGCCAATGTTACTATTCGTGGACAGCTGTATGTCAATGTGTAGGAACATTTGTGCAAATATTTTTTGTGCGTTTACTTATCTAAGTGCTTGATAAGTCTGTTGGAACACCAGGTTAAAATATACCATCATTCCTGCCAGATAACTGAGGTGGGATCAGTTAAGTCTCACATATGTATTGTTGAAATAAGTGAAAATCCTGATTACATCGACATGAAAGAGTCAAGATAATTGTGTGTGTGTGTGTTTATCAAAAAATAAATTATCTGAAAATGAGATCTTTGTTTTGCAAGCATAAAGGTAAAACTGTTGGTCTTCCATTGTTCTTTCATGATACAATTTTGCAGTCCTCATTATGATTGTTTACTTAAATATATGGCCAACAGAGGCTAATGTGTCAAGTAGGCCTTATCTGATACATTCAATTGTAATTTGTAAAGATTTATTTTTTGCATATCTATTATGGAGCAGATTTTTTAAAATTTCTTTGATACAATTGTAAGAAAGATATATACTGTATATGTGTATGTATATGTGTCTGGCAGGAATGTGGGTTGTGTTTAGACTTGATGGTGATTGATTTTTCTCTCTTCCGTGAACAGGTAAATATACTTGCAAAAATTACAAGCACTTAACAATGGAACACTCGGAGTTAGTGGCGGAAATGGTACACGTCGAAAGGCTGACGACGCAAGAGCGGCTGCATTTAGCGCGTCACCGTAGACTTCAACAATTAAAAGTATGGAGGCAACGTGAAAAGGAGTGGTTGCGGCACCAGACCAGGCATACGAGTAATAAACGTCACATATACTTTAGTGATAGTGTCATGTTATTGGAAGCAGCTGCGAGAAACGATATTGACGAAGGTAAAAAGAAATTACGTGCATTACTTTCAGCTGTTCAGACGTGACCGTAAGGCGCACTTATATCGCATCAGCGACATTTATTCTATTTTCTTCCTTTCTTTCAGTAAGACGGCTCTTGAAGAAAGGTGTAAATCCGGACTCGACGAACGAAGACGGCTTAACAGCGTTGCACCAGTGTTGCATAGATGACAACGAAGAGATGATGAAGTTACTCATTGAATTTGGTGCTAATGTGAATGCGGAGGACAGTGAGAAGTGGACGCCGTTACATGCCGCTGCTACGTGCGGTCACTTACACTTAGTTAAATATCTTATCGCCAGGGGTGCGAATTTATTGGCCGTTAACGCTGACGGCAATATGCCGTATGACATTTGCGAAGATGAAAAAACGCTCGATTGCATTGAAGGTGTGAAGAGAGTTGCGCTAAGGTTCTTCACGTTTTTTAGAATATACTGCAACTAAAAATTATTTTCTCATAACACAGGGGAAATGGCGAGGCGAGGAGTCACTCAAGAATTAATAGATGAAACAAGAGCGTCGACCGAGGTTCAAATGTTGCGGGATTTACAAAAGATTGCCTCCTTGGGGGGAGATCTTGAATACAAGGACCATCAAGGTGCCACGCCTGTGCGTATCTCTATCTTTATACAGATTTGTACAATACTCAAGATCGCATAACTGAATCGCAATTTTTACTGCAGCTTCACATTGCATCAGCAAATGGCTATCTGAGAGTCGTGGAATTTCTTCTCGACCAACATGTATCAACGGATGTGGAAGATAATGACAAGTGGCAGCCGGTTCACGCAGCTGCATGTTGGGGACACGTAAGTTTAAATCGAAAAATTCATTCGTGCAATTACATTACATACTTATGTACCTTCGCTTTGCACTGAAGCTGGAAGTACTCGAATTACTGGTACAAAATGGAGCTGACCTAAATGCGAAGAATAAGCACGACGAGACTCCTGCAGGTAAGACTCACTCACTGGGTCATTTCGATTTGTATTGTCCCGCTTCGTTTCTCTGCATTGTCACTATGCCGCCGTAGACATATGCGAAGACCCGGAAATCAGGGAGAGGATAGTGGAACTGAAAACGGAACAAGAGAGCAAACGACTTCGTGAAGCACAAGGACGACGAGTACGCAGGTCACAAAGCATAAATACGCGAACACAAAGCGTACGTCGGACATCCATTCGGGACAAGGTTCTCACCACGAAGAAAGATGCTCAAGAAGAAGCTCGGTTAAGGTTACAAGCGCAACAGGTACAACGAACTTACCGCATACTAGACATGCCTGAAGTATTTCCCGCTTTTCCGAGATGTAAATTAATGCTAAAGATCAGCTTTACTGCATAATCGTATGATAATGACACCGTGGGACGTATTTCAGACGTACGTCAGTGCTACCAAGCCTAGTATACCGCCATTGGAGAATAGCACGCAAGAAGTAGGGGACCACGAGACTGATTCTAGCGCACTGACACCAGCGGTGCGAAAAGGCCCCGAAGGAAAAGACAACGAGTCTTTCCTTCACGAAGATGTTGATAAAGATTCAGGTACATTCCAAATGTATTCTTGCTTGCATTGGTTGTGGTTCGGTAGAATACTGTGGTTAATGGTAGCTTTGTGCGAAATGACTTCAGAAAGTATACATATACTTCAGTCACGAAATTCAAAAGTTGCACATATATGTATATATACACGCGTGCATATATGTGTATATCACACGCTGATTTAGCCCGTAATATCCGAAGTGACGAGTGCGTTTAATGCGAACATAATTTGAATCGAAGAATGTACATAAATTCCTATAAGTCATGCGTTCATTGGACATAACCGGAAGACTATTACCCCCGAAAGAAGAGAGAAAATAATAATGAGGTTATAGAATTATATAAATATCGTCTGTACATCGATATATCGTATCGCGTGCACTCGCGCGCGCCCGTGTGAGAGAGAGAAACCAGGTCCGACTAAAAGACGGACGCGTCTTCGTGTGTTGATGCGTTAATAGGCAAAATTTTATACACGCTGATGAGAGAGAATAAAAGGAAAGTAATCCCGGAGAATATTAAATATGGTTCCGACTATACATATCTTGATTATATTGGTCTATCAATTGCTAAACGATCGATCCCCATGAATGTACTCTGTTGAACTCACTGTGTTAGCTGTCGATTATTTACCAGCTTTTTCTTTCTTTTCACTACTGCGTGCTCCTGAATAATTGCGAGGTTAGTTTTCTACGTCACTTTCCTATTTCTTTAATTATTACATTTCACGATTTGTAACGGTGCATTCGATTACGTTACCCTTTTCGTATCCATACACATCACGATGCAGACTCTGCCGAAAGTTACTCGCTCATAGTGTACGTACTCAAAGTATTTACATGTGCTGCGCATACACGATGCATTTTTCTCTCTGAAAGTGTTTTCACACATGTTGAAACACACAACACACACACAAACACACATATGCATACATACACGTATATCTCGCTTTGTTTCACACACCAAGTCTCTTTGACAAGGCCTAAATGGTTAATCAGCTTCTTGAGCGTATCATCATCGCGTGGCCCGCGCGTTAGCAAAGCTTAACGGCCACACTGAGCGCAATACAGAAGAAATAATCACATAGACGACATCCACTATAGGTATGTCGAGATGTTTCCGTACTTTCTTACGTAAACTGGAGTCCAGGCGATTTAGAGAACTGTATACACGCCACATTAGTAGGGCACACGATAAGTAGAATTGATGACAGAGATATTCTACACTCTTTATACATATATTATACTATGTGCAAGTCATTTTTTTTTCCTTTTCTTTAGAATAAGTACGTACTTAGAAGACTGTTACTGTTTGGCGAACCTCTGCCGGATATAAAATGCGTTCGTAGTGCAACGGGCGGGTTCTGAGCCTAAAAAGCATGGATCTCTGAAATGGTTCGCAATTATATCGAATTCTTATGTACTACTCATCAGCAGACTCTACATCTCGTATTGAAAACTGTTAGTGAACTTTCTCGCTAATCTATATGGCGAATGCTTTAATATCCATTTTATTATTACGTACTCGAGGCGCGCGGGTGACGAAGGATCACTTCGCTCTATTATCCGAAGTAGTCAATTTGAACAATAAAGGAAAACATATCAGACATAGTGATGACAAGCCATTGGTGGATAAGTCTCCAGCGGACCTTTGCCACTCTATTTCCACTTCCGACTGGACGGTAATATCGCTCTAGACGAATTGTCTCGGAATTGTCATTTCATTCCTCTCATTGAATACCAATGACAGATTGTGATCACCAATGTCTCACCCCACATAACGAATAACGCGCAAGTATGGTTAGACCAACCGTTTGTAGTATATACTATTAAACTGAATAATCTATACTATGTTAAAAGGAATTCCATCGTAGTGTTTAAAAATGCGGAAAGGCACATATATAACGTAGTCGTTCAATAGCTGTTCCTGTTCTCTGCAACGTAACGGCCGTTTACCGTTTTCTCTTTTTCTCTCTTTCTTTTCCCTTCTCTTCGATTCCCTTTCTCACTCTTTCTCCGGTTTCTTCTCTCTCTCTCTCTCTCTCTCTCCTCTCTCTCTCTCTCTCTCTCTCTCTTCCCTCTTTCTCTCTTTTTATATATAAACAAATTGTATTAATTAATTTTACTTGCGCGAAACGCAATTATTGAATATCGTTTAGCAAGACACTGTGTATGTACAACGATATGCGTATGGTGGTCCTTGGTGCAATGTTTGACGCTTGTTGCTGAGAAACGCATGTCAGGCTTGGCGCATGAGTCTCATAGTTGACACCCTCTTTTTTCTCTTAACTGTGATCGGTGCATAGGAATAGAGAAGGGGGATGATTAAGGTGACGGGGGCGGAAAAGGGGGCGGCAATAATCGTCGATCGAAAAGTCGGCGCTCTTTGACCCGGGGTGAAGTAGCACATTGGATTTACGTATTTGCCTGACAGCAGTGACAGGGCCTGATTCAGCTACAGTCGGCGGCCAGCAGCCGGCGCCGATTTACGCGACCGATACCGGTGATAACAACGGCAAGATCAACATTCACGTGTCCGTTGTTTTCGTCAAATCCTTGTCAGATCTGAAGAAGCAGCGGGCGCAGAATCGGCACATATCTGGCGGCTCCCTAGACGCGAACGGGAATGGTATACCGATGCCGGTCTCGTCCATCTCCAATTCCGACCTCAGCAACGATGACTTTCAACGTTTCACCGGGAACACTAGCGAAATCGTGGGCGATAATCACTCGGAGAAGAGCTGCTGTACCGTCATGTAATATATCAGCTTTCACGATGACGACGACGACGACGCCGGCAGCAACAGCAACAATGTCGTATCTGCCCCCCCTTCCCGTCGTTGACAATTATGCGGAAGCTTTGCGGATAAGCGAGTGTGTTCCTGCGATTAGATTTCGGTATTTCCCGAAGAAATTTCCAATGCGCTCGTGTTCTTCAATTTCACGCAATTTCGCGAATCGACTCCAAGGGGCGCGCGCGATCTTTCCTTCTACGTTGCGTTACCTTGGCGATATATGTACATTACAAATGATATCCGCGGCGGCGCGTATCGACGAGCTACTCTCGCGGAGTAGGAAGAAGGAGAATCAGCTTTAAAATCAAAACAGCTATCGTTTTGATATCGCGATATAATATCGAACGGCACGTACTTAAAATCGCAACGAGAAGTCCGCGTCGCGCTTGTCACGCGCTTATGCGACCGCGGCGCTCGGATAAGTTTGAATTTTACCGTTCCAATCGTTGAGAACACCTTAGGTAACGTTACAACGTGAACTTAGAACGTGTACTTACATTTGCAGAGATATATTTGCATTGTCGAATTATTTACAAATTTCCCAGCGCCTAAAAATTAAGTATTGTAAAGAGTTTTACTTTATTTATTGTTATATAAAAGAAATGTATAGAGACTACATTCTAATTACTAAGGAATGTGTATTGCATTTTCGTAGGTACTACGTAGATTCGGATTTTATAGTACGTATCACCGCAAAAAAAAAGAGCAAGTATAAGACTTATCGAACATCTTCCAATGTTTTTTATGAGACTCTAGCCGTAAGGATTAAGTAAAAACTGTTTTTTATATCGATTTAAAGATTATTTGTAAATTTTGATATGTAGTATTTATCTATATTATGACTATTCTAGACGCAACACTGAATTCCTTGTTCTGCGAGCCACACACGATATACATCACTGATTTACAATTTCGCACCTGTGTTGTATACGCCTACGACGATGCGAGGCGTTTAATTTTAATTCAATCTCGCGTATCAGACGTTTGAGAGAAATGCATACGTATAATATATATACATATATACATATGTAAGCTTTACGCGGAGTAAAGCTTGCATATTCCCGCGCGACCATCGAACAATCAAAAGTGGAATATACCGGTAATAAGCATTCTCTCGTATTACGCGTATGCGTGTGCAGAGAAATGTGTGTAAAGTAACAATATCTCTGTATCCTGCCGAACACTCCTGCATACGTTTCGCACACTTCGCATCGATCAGTCAGTCAGTCGGTCGTCTGAATTTATTAAACGCGCGAGAGAAGCGAGCTTTCTCAGCGGGAATGCATAGTACAAACGAACGCACGTACATCTTTTTCCATGGCGCATGAAAACTCGTTGCCAAAAAGTCGTGCGCAACTTCCGATCTTACGAGCGCGTTCGCGTGATTCCAGATCTTCGCAAATTATTCCAGATCTTCCAATCGCGTTAATTGCACATCTTCGATACAATGCCATACCGCAACATTACCGATATTCCGATTGAACGTGATGTAACGTGATTGCACATAGCGTGATTGTCTATACTTGATTCTGATATGAATGTTACAGCGAAAGTTGATTTGTTTTAAATGGCTGTATTGAAAATGAATTTATGTGACGTCCACCACATGTTTCTTGCATTGTAATATAATAACGTTATATAAAATAAAGTCACTCTCTGTATATGTTAACCCTTTGTATTGACTTATTATTCATAAATCTTTGCGTGTTCTCACGCTGCAAAATCCAAAGCAAGTACCAACACGCTCTCGAGAGAAACCAAACGTAACGTAACGAAACGTAACGTAACAAAGTTAAGATCTTTCCACAGATCTGGAAAACCGGAAAAATTTGGAAATATCAGGGAATTTTAAAGAAGGCAAGGAAAAATGTTAGAGAAAAATAACAAGTTTTGTTGCCATAGTCATGGAAAACCTGAAAATGTCATGAAAATTTAAATTAGTCTTTTGAAGCGCTCTTATATCCATTTTTCTTGTTTCCTTAAATACAAGATTATTGTATAATAAAATTTTCAATACAGCAATAAAAGAAAGAACAAAAACAAATGAAATTTAAGTAAGAAGAGACTTAATGAAATTGAAAGAAAGAAACTCAAGATTATTACTGAAAAACAGAATTGACTTAATAGATGAACGGATTCAAAAGCTCCAAATGTCAATAAAATAATGTAATTGTTACTTCTTTTTAACTTGTAGAAATTAGTCAATATTAGAAATTTATCAATATCATATTTATTTTAATTCAATTTTAAAGATTTATAGAAGAATAACATGTGATTGTTATTTTTTAGTATATATAATTAAATTATAAAATTATCACATTTATTTTCAACTTTCACAATGAAATTTGTCAATATTGAATTTATATATTGTCAATACCAATAAAATAATAAAAATTTATATTTTATTCAATGTTTTTTTTATACAATCGCTTTTCCCCTTATAACTGTATTTTTTTCAATACTTATGATGAAGCATTGGTCATGGAAAATTCTCCACATTTGTCTGGAAAATCTGGAAATGTCAGGATATTTCAAAATTCATTTTCTGTAGCAACTTTTATAATCTGCAAATTTCAATGCGCATATTTTTGTTCTTCACGTGCAACGAACATGTAGGTCGGTTTACAATCCTTATTAACGTATATTGTTACATCATATAGCGTTCAGAGAGATAAAAATAGTTAGTCGGTGTTTTCAGAAGCGCGCTTCGTCATTGCGACACTTTTATGTATCATTTCAATGGCGTTGTCAGGACAAGGAAGTCGAGTGTGTGTCCGCGATGCACAGTGGGTCAGGAATTGAATATGTCGTCGCGGTCGACTTATGATGACACTCACGGTGATAACGCGACGGCTTAGTGATCAGAAGAGGAAGATTACATCAGTCGAGTCCCAATTACAGATTGATTTAATCAAATGTACATCTCGCTATTCTGATGCAACTTCTGCGCTTTATTGAGCTTCATTATAGCAAGCATAATCGGTTGTTGACGTAGTTGGTGAAATATAAATAAAAAAATGCTATTTTGAACGTTGGAATAATATGCGAATTTCATCCTCGGCTATACTTAAAATTATTCATGCCATACATAAAATTATTCCCGTCTCTCTCTCTCTCTCTCCCTTCCTCGCTCCCCTCTCTCTTTCTCTCTCGCTTTTGGCACAAGCATATTCTCAATTAGCGCGACGGGAAAAAAACGAATACAATATATAAAAATCTCTATCAATAATTAATCCCCATAAGATCTCTTGATAAGATAGTATCGTTTGTCATTTATCTCTCGATAAGATAGTATCATTCGTCGCTTACCTCTTGTACCGGCATTATGTTTAGTCAAAGATGTGCTTTATCACGACACTCGACGCATTATTTGGAGTATTTAACATAAAGGCCAAATTGGAGAGCTCTCGCTCTTTTTTTTTCGACGATATTTATTTTCATCGAATAATTAATTACATTGCACAATTGACATTCCCTCCCAGAAATAAATCTCTCTCGCACAATGCGACGGAAAGAAAAAAGGAGAAACAAACGCGGTTTGTTATCGTCGATCGATGACGTCTTGCGATATCGCTTGCAACTGGCGTTGAAAATTAATTGTTTTTTATTGATACTCGATGTACGCGGTATATCACGTTCACGATATTCAGTATAAAGCTTTACTCTTGCAGGTTTTCGCAACGAGGAATGAATCGAATGCTTCGCAGAAGGATGGAAGTGATTTGACAAAGGATTTAGTTTGCTCGACGCTACAAATGCCTCGCTTAGAATGCGGTCTGCTCCTTTAATGTTGTGTGGTAACGACATTATTTTACCGGGATAGTTTGAAGCGCCAAACGTATTCGAAGAGCGATTCGGTGGGGAGACGCGCTTGATGGACATAAAAACTGGCTGCCACTCATGGCACAGTACAGTAAGTTTTGCTCCTCTAATTTTGCAAGAACTCCTCGACGAGCAACGTGTGCTCGCGCTTCCCATCGATAGCAGTAATCATTATTTCTGGTCGGATCGCTATATTAAGCCACTTCAGGTAAACACGTGTTTGATCTGTCGTGTTAAAGAAAATGATTTTATGAATTTATACACTGAGAAAAAACATCTAAAAATTGACAATTATTTATTAAGTGAATACCATTAATATATTTATTTAAATCAAAATTCTTTTCATTTAAACTGAGTACTGTTTACTCAGTTTAATCTTTAGACCGCCGGAAAAAAGAACCAAGTGTATAATCTGTATGTGTAATCTGCAAATTTTGAGACGCAAAATGTTTTTGTTCTTCGTGTGCAACGAATCATGCAGGTCAGTTTGCAATCCTGTATTGACATATATTGCACATTATATATCGTTCAGAGAAATAGAAATAGTCAGTCGGTGTTCTCAAAAGCGCGCTAAATATAGGCGCGAGCCGTGATCGAAACTTTGTATATATCTATTGTATATAAACTTTGTATATATCTTTGTATATATCTTTGTATATACCTATAAAGTACTTTTTTTAAGGTGATTTTCTTCGGGAATTCAAATACTTCAGACCCCGGTGGTCTAAAGATTAAATAAAGTTTATTCAGTTTTAAATGAAGAGAATTTAAGTAAATGTGTTAATGATACACACTTAAGGCTCTTGGCCCCTCGCATTGTCTATCTCTTTTTAATGACGTCAGAAGCGAGAAAATGCATGCTAAGAATTATTGCAAAATATGTTAAAATAAAAATATATATCCATGAAGTAACACTTGCAATCGATTAAACAAATTTGTTTACAAAGTTGTTGTAAACAAAAGATATTCCGTGCACTGCCCTTTTGTTCTAACAATCAATAATTTCTTGTAAATTAACGTGACATGCAATTCATCTTCTTAACCCATTCCTTCGCCTATTTTTATTCAGATTAATTTACAATAAATTATTGATTGTTAGAGCAAAATTAGATAATGCCATTCTCCGATTAATAGATGATCTTTAATGTTCCTTGAGAATAATTCCAAAATATTTTTCAAAAAAATCACAGATCACATCCGAAAGTTCAAACACGTCCGACCAGGTTAGGGCGGAACTGTTGGAAAAGCACGTGTGCGAGAGAAGCGCGAAGGTTGAACGAATTCGATGAATTGAAGTCCGCGGGAAATCGAACGATCCTATCGCGGGTGATTTTAATTTCGGACATATATCGCCGCGTGATAGCTACAATCAATATTTCTACTGACATCGATAATTCGTTGTTTAAGGATTGCCGCGATTATCTTACCGTTTAATCTCGAAATGACTGGCGTAAAATAATTTAATTCCTAATGAAGTATCGATAAGAAACACTTCATAAGCATTACGAGAGTAATGCTTCTTAAGTAGTATAAAATGACACTTCTAGCGCATTTTGATTGGGGAAAAAAATACAGAAGAGATATATCTCTCCTTGTCTCTCCCTGTTTTCCCTGCCTCTCTTGTCTCTCCCTGTCTCTTCCTGTCTCTCCTTGTCTCTCCTTGTCTCTTCCTGTCTCTCCCTACCTAGTCAGCCTCCTCTCCTCTGCCGGGTCCTCCCATTTGTATTAATACGAGGGAATCCCGGCCTTTTAGTGAAACTGACTTCGATTGAATTCTAAAAATACAAAACAATAACCAGTTAGCCCATTAATGATAATTTATATCATTTATGGTGGTTACCACCACACCAAATAAGAATATACTCGCTTTACTGCTCTCTTCACTCAGATCATTGTCAGAAGACATTTCTTTTAAATAATTAACATAAAAGGATCATGTATCATTAGCCGTTATAGCTTTCGAAAAGGAAGGTTAAATCTTACATATCATTTAACAAAGGAATGACGTTGAAGCAGAAGACGTAATGTTGCTTGAAGCCTTGCATATTGAGAAAGAGAGAGAAAGAGCTTTTCCAACATCACTACCCTCACCACCGTCACCACCTGTCGCGAGTGGGACGTGTATTGATGAGTCGCAATAATTCGTAGCAACGTCGACGCGCGAGTCATGTTTCCTTCAAACTCATCTGATCTTATCACTTAACATCCTGTCTCATCCTGGCACATTTCGTTCTCTGCTCCCCCTTCATTTCCTCATCTTTCTCTTTTAATCGCGTTTCGCGCGATCTAACCTCCTATCTCGAGTCGGCAGTACCGTTCGTTGAACGAGTTAACGTATACCACAGTGCAAATATAGCAGAGCGCGGTGTCGAGAACACGATTGGGTGAGATTTCGGCTGGCACCCAAGTTGTCGGGCTTGAGCGGTCCCACGACATCAGAATGTCGCGATCCCATTATGTAATCACTGCGATGCTACCGTGCCTGATGCGGACCGTCCTGGCCAATAACTGTTCCGCTTCGTCGTATCGATACGGCGCGGCACTCAGCTGTTCGATCTTTAAACGTCACGACGTCTGTCCGTACAGCAGTATGCCGGGACAGCGAGACCAGGTCATGAGCAAGCGAGCGACTTTCGGTATGGGCTGCTTCTGGGCGGGCGATTCCCTCTTCGGAGCACTGCCCGGAGTCATCAGGACCTGCGTAGGTTATGCCGGCGGCACCAAGGAGTCTCCAACCTACAGAAACATGTACTTTTCTCTTGCTATGATACTCTAAAGCATCTCATTAATTTTTATATAGAAAGTTCAACTATATAATTGCAAGTAATGAGTTAAATGTATAACCAATAGGAAGCTGATGAAACTATGTAAAACCTCTTTGCATTAAGAAAATTACATTTGAATCTTTGTTTGCTCAAACTTTAGTTAAATTTTGAAACAATTAATAGGTCTGTTCTTTTTAGCTGAACTGCCTGAACTGTGGTACAGACTGCTGCAATAAATTAGAGTGAAATAAAATATATGCTATTGCATCAGTGTGCACCAATTCAGATAGTTCAGGTAAAAAGAATAGATCTTACAGAAATTAGCATATGTGTATCTAATATGTGTAAGATATTAATATATATAAATACATATTAATATCTTACATGTTATATATATGTATGTATGATATTAATATCTTACATGTTATATATATGTATGTATATATATTTATTCATTTATATATATTAATATATTTGATATTTATATTTTATTTGCAGGGGTGATCATACAGAAGTCATTGATATTGAGTACAATCCAGAATTAGTGTCCTACTCGTACCTGTTGGATTTGTTTTGGAATAACCACGAGTATGGCCTAACAACGAAGATTAAGAGACAGGTATATCAATTTTCACCTTAATTATAATATTATTCATTGTATATGATTTGTAATATTTGAGGAGTAATGTCTAATAATTTGCAAGTTAGATTTTTTAGTGAATATTATAACCCAGACAGCACAAATGTCCAAAATCGAGTCATAAGACGTCTTTAGGACGTCTTTAAGACATCTTGAAGACAATACCTTATAAATTTGTCTTAAAGTTGTCTTAAAGATGTTTTAAAGATGTTTCTTATGACTCGATTTTGGACATTGTATTGTCTGGGAAGTGTTATCATATATAAATGATAAATCTACATAATCCATGTATAATTTGCATTCTAAATAGATTCATTTTTTAGTACATGTCACTAGTCTTGTATCACGACGAAGAGCAAAGATCATTGGCTGCAAAATCTCAGGATTTGAAGCAACGAGAGGTCGGGAAAGTCTTCGTCACGGAGATTAGGAAGTTTACAAAGTTTTACGCGGCGGAAGAGTAAGTAACATTATCGTGTCCGTTTCACGAACAAATATAATTATCGTTGCAATTGCTGTTGATAGAATTTAATCTCAACTACTTGCCAGTATTTAGCCGAACAATTTATATAATTTTGACTGTGTTTTAATAGCAGCTCTCTCTCTATAAATAGATAGTGAAACCGAGCTGAATCATGAATAGAGATAGAGATCGAATTTATGTGTATAAATTCGAATAACAGTCAGATAAACTTATATAGAATTACATAAAATTGTGTATCTTCTCAGCTATCACCAGAAGTACCGACTACAACAACATCCGTGGTTGCTCGAGAGCACGAATCTCACCATACCAGAAACTTTACGCGCGTCTCCGTTGGCAGCCAAGCTGAACGGCTACATAGCGGGTGCTGGTAGTCTCGAACAATTCCGACAGGAGCTACCGCGCTTAGGACTGAACGAGAAAGCAGCGCAATATGTAACGAAACATATTATTGAAAATCAAGGCAGTGGCTTGTATTGCTAGTTGGCGGAAAAACACGTCGGGAACTCGAGAAACTGGAATCTGCTCCGTTATCACTGGACTGCATAAGTGTTCGATTGTTACGTAAAGAAAAACATTACATTACATACGACTTGATATATATCTCGTACGTAAAAGAACACAGTCCTCTCTACGTTGAATTGAAAAATTCATAAGTGAAATTCTATAATAATAAGTATTACTCATAATTCTCGCACGATTTTGTTCATTCACAATATACTGTCGTATTATTAGTCGAATTTTATATCATGATTCTGTTTTAACACTACGTAATGTACAAGTTATCCTACGATTCTTTCATAACTTTCATTTTAAAAAATTTTACAAAAATTCACATGGATATTCCTTAGCAGAAAATTTTACTAGTTTCTGAAAAATTTGGAGAGATAAGATACTCAAATAACATACAATATTAATTATAATATTAATTTGAAACTTGATTGTGATATATAGGAATTAGCTACATGGAGTTAACTACACATTATATGTAAATTAATAAATATCAGTATTATAGTTTTGAATATCAGTGGCCAGAATATGACCAGAATATTCAACGAGTTAGCAAGCACAATTGCATCTTGCAATTTATCTAATATAGCAAACTGCTGTGAAATCTAACTATTCATTCGCAAGCGACAAAAATTACAACGACTATTTTTTATATACTAATATGCTAAGAATAAGATGATATTGTTACATAAAAAATATCTTAACTTTTTCATAACTGTTATATATAAAATATTAAAGCTATAGATCTTAATATTCAAAGATCCTCACAGAAGCAGAATATCTCTTAGAAAATGTTATTTTAATAGTAATTTTTAATAGTAATTTTAATAGTAATACTTCTAAGTGTAAAATAATTGGTACTACATATATTATAATAAAAGTTATATAATAAAAGTTATATAAAAATAGTGATAATGTATAATTATATAAACTTATTTTTATCATGACATATTTATAATTGATTGTTATTTAATAAATTGAATATCATTTATGTTTATTTTATCTTATTAATTTATGTCTAATTTATGTTTAATTTATATTATTAATTTACAAATATTTCTTTTTCTTGTCATAGGCTTTGATGTGATAAAATCTGTGTTTATTTATGTAATAATTTAAATTTGAATATAAAATTGGAATAATTTCTACAAAGTTATATATATATATATATATATATATATATATATATATATATATATATATATATATATATATATATATATATATATATA